GGGAGTTAGATAAACAGAGAATTGTTAGCACTGGCTGTCCATGTGACAGTCCTGTCACCAGCCTGGCCCTAGGAGCACTCAGAGCATGATAATCTGCCTTATCTTAAAAAAAAAAGTGTAACATTGCTGATTTTGTTATCTGCAAGCAGGAAACTAATTTGCATGTTTCTCAACAATTCGCAGTCACATTGCTTAGAAAAGGCTGACTATAAACACTGAAAACCAGGATGGGCTCAGAGAAAAGGCTTTTGAATCTGCCTTTAACAGCAGCCAACTCCCACTCCAGCCATTAAATAAAAGGACTTTACATTCAAGTTGTCATTCTTTCATTTTTTTTCACTATATGGAGGGAACACTTGCTATTTTATATTTATTAGGTTCCTAGGTGCTGGCAGGTTTATTAAGCTAAAATAATAACACTTTTGAGTGAAAAATTAAAATACATATAACAGTAGAGATATTTTTGTGGGGCAGTTTATATGGAATGCCCTAACATTCCCAAGTTAGTTGAACAGTTGGTGTTCTGTTACTTATGGAATCACAGAATGAATCACAGAATAGTTTGTGCTGGAAGGAACCTTAAAGATCACCTCATTCCAATGCTTTGGACAGAGACATGGACACCTTTCACTAGATCAGGTTGCATCAAGCCCCACCCAGCCTGTCCTTGAACACTTCTAGTAATGGGTATCCACTGGACAGCCTGTTCCAGAGCCTCACCACCCCCACGGGGAAGAATCTCTTCCTGAAATCTAATCTGACCCCGCCCTCTGTCAGTTTGAAGCCATTCCCTCTTATCCTGTCACTCCACACCCTTGTAAAAAATCCCTCTCAAGCTCTCTTATAGCCACCTTGAGTTACTGGATGGCTACTTAAATCCTTCAACATTCATGAGTAATTTTCTCAGACCCAACATTTATTCCTAAAAGACAAAACTTCCTACTTTTTTATGTCCAAGTTGGTTTCTTGACGTATAATGAATAAGGCAAAGAAATTTTTAAAATTACGTTTTCCTAAACCTGCAGGAGAGACTGCTGCTGAACAAAAACTGTTTTAATTTAAATAACACCCATGGTCAATTTTCTCTGGTTTGGTAGGTGCAAATCTCTCTGTATGCTCTCTTGGCATCTCTCAGAGTTCATAAGGACATCCTGAATCTGGTACAGTTTGGGTATTTCTAGAACTATCAGGGGGAGCACCTCTGTACACATGGCCACTGTCCCTTAGAACACAAGGGAGAGTGAAGTTCTGGTATCTGCAGCGTTATGGATACATATTATAATATTGCCTTTTTGCAAATATTAAAATGGATTTTATATGTGTGATGTTAAAGTAACTTTGTTATAAAGATATAGTTTTTTATTTCTGTTGATAATTAAGCTTAGACATAGCAGTGAAATAGCTGTGCTTGTGTTAAAATTCCTGCTTGGATGGGATAATATTCAATGAACACAGGATGAGGACCCTGCTATTGATATGCCAACTATCAGCATCGGCTGTCTGAAGACAGAGTGGACCAAGGCCCAAACTGGAAGTGAAAAAGAGGAACCAAAATCACAGCCAAGAAACACACATGCTCTAAAAACGCAGACCCAAGGATAGGCCATGTAAAATAGTTCCCACAATATGTAAAGTCGTTTATGGATATGCATAACGATATATGAATATGCAACAGGCTTTTGTAAGGGAAAAGGCATTTAAAGGGTGTCCCCAAAGGTGACAGTGTGTGCCAAGATGAACCTGGCCATAATAACCTTTACTCTGTGGTCCTGGTCTCCTTGTTAAACTTTTTAACATTTTCACAGGAGAATGAACATGCTTTTCACAGCAGTGCTGAGCTCCTCAGGTGTGGCAGCCTCCAGCACTTAGGTGAAAACCTTCTACCAGCTTCATACAATGCCCTGTACATCTGGTAGTGGGAAAGGACAGTGAATCCTGACCACTCTTCCACATCACACATTATGTTGAAAATGTCTATAATTTCTCCACTGAAGCTCTTTTTTTGAGACAGATGACAGGCATTTGTGACAGCTGGAGACAGCAAGCTCAGTAGTTCTTCATCCAGAAGCTGTCTGTGGTCTTTGATGATCCCTGTGGCTCTTACACTTTCCAGTTTTGCTAAATATTTTTGATCATACCTGCACAGAGTACTCAAGACAACAACAAACAGCAGCTTTATGCAGTAGTGTACTGAGGCTCTATGGTTGGCTTTCTGTGTACTTTCTAGTAATTTCTAGAGTTTGTTTTGCTTTCTGATCGTGGAACAGCAAGTTAATTCTTCCATGGATGTACCCCTTATAACTTCAAAATCTTGCTCCTAGGGGCTAATAGCTAGCTTGGTCTTAAAAAAAAAGGAAAGTATTTTTATTTCACATTGAAAGTCCCCCAAACCCCTTAGAAACATGTCTGAAATGACACTGTTATAGTAAGACATAAATTATTATGATTATTATAATTAAGAGCATGGAATTAAAAATGGATTGAAAAGCCTTAAATCTTTTTATGAGGGATAAGCCTTGGAAGGTCAGCCACTGTTTTCATCAGCTTTAACCCTCTTGTCAGAGGAAACTACCTGCAACAGCATTCTGATATGATAGCATTGTATGCCCTCTCCACAGCCTCCATAGTTTTAGGAGGAGAAGTGTAGGCAGAAGACCATAAAGGACAGTTTTACCATCATGTATTCTTTCAAACACCACTCACATTACTTTCGTTTGTGTCCTCTTTGTTTTACCCTCTATCTGAAATCCTTTGGAAGTAGTGGAATGATTTCTCAGAAAGAGAGCCACCACTGCTTAGAGAGAGGTCTTGGTGAAACTCAGACATGCCAGACACTTAAATGCACACGAGCAGAACAGTACTTTCAAAGTGAATTAGCTTGAAAACATAAATACGTTCAAGTGCTCTCTTGAATTAGAACCCTACAGGCAATTTGCGGCCTTGGCTCTTGCAGCTCACTGCACTTCTACTTCAAAACACTTTAGCTCCACAAATAACAACAGAAGTTTTGAAATGTGATCTGCCCAGAGACAAAGTCATCCTGTTCCTTTTATCTAAGATGAAGCTGAGAAATGATAATTTATAAAGGTAAGATGTTACATTCAGACCCTTCCCTGTCTCTCTCTTTAATATATCTAACTCAGAATTTTTCTGTCATACTGTGATGCGAATGAAGCAAAAGAACATAAAGGAACAATGAAAGAGGTTATCCACTCTGGATAAGAGGCTGTTTTCCTTAGGTTGTTTATACAGACCTTGGTGACAGAGCTCCAAAGAGCCAGCACCAACAAAGGAGCCACTGCTCAGCCCTGCCCTGTGGAGCCACCTCTCACCATGGAGCACACAAACACAGCCCCTCTTTTACCTGCCCAGGATAAACTGCTGTGACTGCTCAGTTACACCAGCTAAGCCAGGCCTAAACACCCTGCTTTCCTTTGTCTAAGCTGCTCTCCAAAATCCACTTCCAAAAGACTGAGGCTTTTAGGATGCTCTTTATCTGCAGCCCATTCTTGCATTGTGAATAGACTTGATGCAGCTCATGGGACTGTTTGTTTGTTGTGAAGGCAATTAGAATGAATCTAAATCCTTGCTCAATCAGTCAAAACAACTTTGAGTACAGCACAGATGAAGAGGATACCCTAGAAATCTCTCTACATCGGTTCTCAGATAGATGGGATGAAGTTACTTAGTAAGATTTTTAATATTTGAACACAGAATCCTCTTTTAATAAGAAGTTGGGTTGGTGGCTTTTTGGTGTGTTTTTTTTTTATTTTGCTTTGTTTTTGTTGGCTTGCTTTTAAGAATAAATCTTCCAGTAAAAAACTTCAGCAAAAGCTACAGAATAAGGAACGCCAGCCATAATCTTAGATGTCCTGAAAACAACTTGAAATGTTCTTAGACAAAATGGAATCTGGGAGAAAAAGAGAGAAAGCTTCCTTCAATACCTTAAAGGACTAGCAATGGTGACCACTTTCAAGCATGAAATTCAGGTTAAATAATAATATATTGCAGTCACCAGATGGGTCACCTGCACAAGGAAAGTGGGGTCAATCTGTAAACCCTCTCTGAGTGGTGTCACTGACATAATTATTATTGGCAAATCAAACCACAATGACAAGATGAGAAGCAGATCACAAAGTTTGCATTACTTTTTCTTCTGAACTTGAGACTTTAAATAAAAAAACTAAATTAAATACAGTATTTTTTCTGTAAGTTTTATGGAAGAACATAGTTTACATTGGAGATTAAAATGCAATTTTTTTAGGTTACTGATTAGAAAAAAGAAATCTTTTATAGACTTTATAGACTTCTCCATTCTGGGAAGCCTTCTTTTTCTTTAATACTCCCAAGAGTGAAAAAGCCTGAAGGGAAAACTCCCCTTGCATTTCTCTGGTTTGAAACTGTTTTTTTTTTTTTTAATGTAAGATGATTGTACCCTAAGGAATGCAAGGCTTTGTGTTGAAGGTAACCCTGCATGCAGCCTACAAACTAACAAAGCAGACAATCATAACAGATAAAACCAAAAATGTCAGATGGAGCCTTCCTGAATTTATTTGCTAATGGCAAACTAGAAATTTCTGGTTTGTGCCAGTAGTATCTGATAAAACATTCCAATACATTCTTAGAACATGGGATTAAAAACATTATGCAAAAGATCATTTAACTAATCTGAAACCTCTGTGTGTGGTAACTGATATAAATCTGTGATGCAGTTGAATTTGCCCCAGAAAAATTGTTGAAATCTCAATGTGTGTTTCCATCATTAAAAATCCCAGGCCAGTAGATGACACACTTGGTTTAGCTTTTCCAAAAATCAGTATTGGTTTTCCTTTTGAAAAAACCCCTCATGTGAGAACAAATAAAACACAGCATTTCTTCTAATTGTGAAACAAGTAATTGCTGATGTGATTAAAGTTCTCTGTATCCAATTCTTTCAAGATATCTGTGAGAAGAAGAGTGTAGTTACAGGACCTTTGGTGGCCATGTCTCTGTTTACTCACCCATCTCTTGCCTGGTACTGCAGACTCCTGTCCCATATTTTTCTAACTCTATGGTCACAGTTTTCAAAGCATTAACATCTGTTTCTGCAAAGCCGAGGTAGTTATAAGAACCCATATTGATTACATTCTTGATAGTCCTTCCTGTAAACCTGTAATTAAAGCAAATTTTGAACAACAGTGCAATTTTCCTTCCAATCCCAAATGAAAAGAAAAAAATCCCAAAATTTTCCCACCAAATTTTGTTCCAGTGTTAAATTTCTACTTGTGAATTGACAATCTTCATATTCTAACAGCCCAAAAGTTTTTCTAGCCTTCCTCTTTTCCTAAGTACTTCTTCATGGTCAGAGTGCTTTCTAGAAGTCACACTGTAGATTGCAATAAACTGGTGTGGGATCACTGTCTGCTTTTATGGATTTAAATAAACAAACATAGGACTTTATTTAAGGAACAACTTACAGACATTAATTTTTCAAGCAAATTGTCAACTACTTCCATTAAGTCACCAGTGTTCTCACACACACACAGAACTTAAACTTGATGAAAATATGGGAAACACTATGATACATTCTCAATAAGCTCAAATATAGCCAACCTACACATTGTCTATGCTGTGAATTCCCATAGCTGTGTAATTCAGCTGCAATACACCAAAACCTTCAAGCTGTAATCTGCTGAAAACCCACTGCCAAAGACTCATGATGAAGGCAAGAAGCCACATTCATGCAGTGCAAAAAATTATGATATTAAAACTAACCAAGGGATAAAACAAATTTTGTTGTAATATTCAGAGTCAAGGTCTGTTGTTACAAATGGTGTGTGAGCAGTCTTGTGCTGACACAGCCAAACCCATCTGCAACTGAGTTGGAAATCTATACTGCATTTCCAAACAGATACTCAGAAGAAAAGGGTCAGATTGCCAGCATGGTGCTGACTGCAGAAAGAAACATGCTGGTGGATATTAGACAAGGACCTGGACACAACTTTGTGTGCTTTGCAGAGGTGTCAGGAGCATGCTGATGAGGCTGAAAGCAGCAGAGTGTAAGATGACTCACCTAAATGTCCAGTTGTAATCATCTGTAACACGTTCCATGAGGTCAAACTGTGGCCCAGGGACACTGCAAATGGGACGGTTCCAGTTATCCCGTATTCTCAAATAGAGGTTCCTGGTGTAAAAGTTCTCAAAATCTTGATAAAGTGGCACAAAATCCTGGTTTGAAAACATGCACAGGGTTATGCTGCTGTGAAAATATCTCCTTCTTTACCCAAGTCATTCCTATTAACAAGGAAAAACTGATTCATCAATAAACAGGGAGCCACAGCAGCCACATGGTCCTGTGTCACTTACAACTCCAAACAGCAATACTATATCCTTACTATAATTCCTTTAAAACACAATGCTGTATTTCTTTGAGGGTATTTTATTTCTGCTTAAAGATTAGGAGTTTTTTCGTTTCTTTTTTGGTTGGTCAGGTTTTTTTTAAATGGTAAACAAGCTGGTCTAACTCTATATATACTGAAAGTTGGAAATGGAAAAAAAAAATCAAGATTCTTTCACTTGAAGAAACCAATTGCTTCAAATTGAGCATTTTTCTATGTGTGGAGCAGATTGGAGAAAAGTAGGATAAAGAACTCACTACATTTCATGAAATGCTGGATACACGAGACAAAAGTTAGTCCAATATATGTGATTTCAGCATTACTGGCCTAGGGTGAAGATGCAAACATCCAGTTATGACAATTTTTTTGGTTGAGAATGAATGAATATCTATGGATTTTACTTGGAAATTAAATTTAAACAAAGCTTTTTCTTTATATGAAACAGCAATATATCCATGTTGAGCACTGCATACAATAAACTGATAAAATAACATGGCAGGCAGTTAACATATGTGGGAAAATTAAGTAAACATGTAATCCATAGTGAAGGACAAAAAAATTTAACTGGCACAACTGGAATTAACAAATGGCCAGATCATGAAGTGAATTGAAAGTGATATTCATTAAGTTCTGCATGCATCTTTGAAAATCTAAAACAGGAAACAATTTCAGGAGTTTTATTTGCAAGACAAACAGTAAAACTCATCATGTTTTTCTTCATTATGCCAGGTGTTACCGTAAAAGATGAATCAAACTGCACAGAGAAGGAAGAGGAACTAAAAATTTTAAGCAAAGTTGGAAGGCAGTTATCTTGCTAAGGTGCAAGTTTCACTTGAAACTATATGGGATGAAAAAATTTTGGGAGTTACAAGAATTCAATTATTACAAAATCAGAACTTCCTCACTATGAAAGACACCATAAGATAGCCAGATGGGACAAAGGAAAATCAGGGTTGAAGAGATTTGGAAAGATTATATATTCAACAATAAGACATTTATGAATTTTCTTTTTCTGTGGATTGACTTAATAAACTGAGATTGTGTTTTGCTGAGAGTATTATGGCACTCTTAGAACGAGGTGAACCTGTCCATGGGTAAAAATGATGATTTTACATAAATGCAGGTACATAATCATACACATGCATACAACTCTACCGGCAGGGTGTGTCACTCCTCTCACCCCTCTGCAACATTCTGTAAAATGAAAGTTGTCTGCATTGTTACTCCCACAAGTTGCTGTAAGTCACTTGCAACCAAAGGAAAAAGCTGTGGATACAGAATGACTTTTTCATACATACTTTTTGTTGTTCTCTCTCCGTAGCAATGTTACGTTTTTCTAGTCCCCAGGCTCTCATAAAATCTCGCAGGTAGCCAAATATTGTTCCCACTGCAAACCCCACGAAAGTAAAAACTGCAACATACATTGGTGCCTGTTCAAAGTGCTCAATAAATGTTTTTTTGTAGAGGGTTCCGTTTGATACTCCATTCTTCTGAAAAAACAGAAGAGAAATTTCTGATTAATACATTTAATCTCATCGCAGCTTTGACCTTGGGGCAAATCTTTTTCTCTAATTAGGAAAGACATTTAGACCTCACACTATGTATCAGCTGAAGAAGAGGACCTTTAACACTGCAGTTGCCACTGACCACTACAAGTATTTCCATTTTCCCTCCTCTCATGTCTCAGCTGCAGATGTCTTCAACACCACTCCCTTGTCTATTTTGAAACATATGAAACTTATGAAAGATTGGCTGTGTATTATTGTGCAATTGGACAATTATTTCAAAGGTGATTAAATGGAAACCACAATACTCTGGCTTGCAAGAGAGAGCTATAAAAAGGGAAGGGCAGCATTAAAAGCTCACCTACACTATTCCTGACTGCTTCTGGAAGTCTTGAGTAACCAACCCATTGCAGCAACTAGCCTATATAAAACCAATCCTGCCTAAACCAGGGCAGCTTTGCTGTGATGTTCTCCAGACCTGAGAGAGTATCCAAAACTTTATGATCCCTGCCTTCTATTTCTGTTCTGATTTCACAAATGCTTTTAATCCTATTTTCAGTAACAACTCCCCTAATTCTAAGGCTACTTAAGACAAAATAGAACAGAGGAAAAGTAAAGCAAAAAAAATTGAACAAGACACACAGACAGACTTGCTTGTTGGAATTAGTGATCCCATTGTGAGCAAATTCTAGAAATTTACAACAGGGTGTGGACAACGTATTTTGTCACTAAAATATATCAAGATTTCAATTTTCAAATTAAAGAAGCTAAGTTTTTCAGTTGCCATATTCAATAGGCTCATTAGACTATTCTTTGGAAGAGTGGTAACTCCCTTATTTCTGCAAAACATGATGGCCTTTACAGATACTGTCTAGTAACGGCCAATCTGCTAATCCAAAATTAACAAAACACAATCCAGAAAAAAATAGTACCCTGATAAAAAAAGCCAAAACCAAACAAACAAGCATCCAAGACATATATTTTGACATATTATAAAGCAAAACTGCCAGCATATGAAGAAATACCACTTCTGCCTGTGGGAAGGATGAACTAAAAATGTAGATTACCTAGTTATGTAATGTAGCAAGCTGAAATAGAATATTCATATTAAGAACAATTGCCAATTCACTAGACTTGTAAGGACAGAATATTATTGATCTTCATATTGCATTAAAATGTCTTTACCCTCACAGGATTTAGATTTCTGTTGTAACTTGCTGGTCCAATCACTGGATTCCCCAATGGTTTTGAAGGAGAAAAAGAAAAGAAAAAGTAAAGCATTTTTGCGCACAAGAGAAAATAGAAAGGCTGTTAAGGAAACTTAAAAAAGAAAAAAAAAATGCTGGTTGGGCTGAACAGAAACATATTTAGACTTTGGAAACACTTACTGCCCTGCAAGGGAGAAGGAATGCAGGACTGGCTCTCACCATGTGAGGGAACACCTTTGAAGAAATAATACACCTGCACTCCTACCTCAAGCTAATTGCTCTTTTAGGGCAACCTATTTACCATGAAAAACATTTTATGAGTATGAGTTAAATACGTGGTGAAGTCAAATTTCACATGAGTCACAACAGCTGTGTGCACACAGGGATGAGATAAAGCAAATATTTCAGAAAGGATTAAGCTCAGTCCTATTACTTTACATTTGCCATGGGCTAAAAGCATGTTTATGGTCACCTGTGGAAATTCAAGTGGCATTGTAGCTTGATGTTCTTGAATCAACTGGCATGAAGCTATGATGATGTGATAATGCACCTGACCCCAGAGGAGAGAGTTATGATGTTTCTGTTCATTGATTTTATGAAGAAACACTTTATTGCTGTAAACCTTATTGGTGAAGGGACAGGAAAGCTCCTATCAGATTTCTGCACTGTAACATCCTTCTTCCACAACAAAACCGTGCTGTTGTGGAACCCTCATTGCAGCAGGTGCCATTTGATGGAGTCAGTGTGACACAGTATTTAACCAGGTAACCACTGTCACCTTAACACAAATGGCTGGGAGGAATGAGCACAGATAGTAGTGAAGTATGAAGAATGCGCAGCCAGGTGTGACCCACATCTTTCAGGCTATAAAGGACAAAACCCAAGAGTCTTCAAAGAGTTGGTACAAGGCTGGGAGAACAAATTCAGACAACACAGTGACACCTTGTCCAAAAATAAAGTGAGGAAAACAAAGAGTATTTAAACCCTAAGAGTCCCACAAATAAGTAAAGAGAGAGCCTCAAGAAAGAATAATCAAAACAAGTGGATTTGCTGCTTCTAGAGAGGGGGAGAATGATAGCAGGGATGTTTTTGTGCAGCATTTCTGATCCAAGCATGGGGTATATGAGTGACTGACTGAATATCATGTGGATGTTCAATTTCAGCCCGTCTAAATTGGCTGAATTGGTCAGTGAAGAGCAATGGCTGTCATTTTGTACTACATTACTGTTGACTTTTTCTGTGTTATCATAAAGGTTTATCTCAGAAGAAGGAGATGGATTTGCAGACTGTGCTTTAGAACAGCAGCTATACAGTGAAGGAAGATGTAATTCAACTGCTGCTGGCACTGAAATCAAATACAGCAGATTTCCTACAAATGCCTGAAACCATTCAGAGATCATTAGTCACACTATTACACAGCAGATACTCTGCTGAATTATGTCTTATTACCTGTAATAACACCTGCAGCAGACAGAACATTTTCTACTCCATACCTTAAACTGTAGCAATTGGTTGGGCAAAGATTCTAAAAAACATATAAATCCTTCCAACTTTAGCAATTGGTGGCTTTGAGGTTTTATGACTCTAAGATTGTCTTATCACCTTGTAACAGTCATCAGGGGATAACTATGAATGTGTTCATCATTTTTGAACCTAAAAATGTTGGGGAAATAAATTGTGACTTTTGATAATTCATTTCATCTGTAAAAATGTGTTTCCTTTTTTATAATGAAATTACCTGAAAGTGTCAAGACAGTTTACTTTGCTGCACTTTCCTATTCAATTATACAACTCATAATTTTCTATACTTTAGTAAATTCTGCCTCTCCATTTGTCTCCTCCCAACCTAGAAAAATCCTAATCTATATAATTCTAGTCCAGTCTCTGTGTCCTTACACGGATTTAAACTCCAAAAAATAGATTTAAAAATTCTATATTTTCATGCTCAACTTTCTCTTCACTCTGCAAAAATCAATAAAACCTTTTTGAGATGGAGAGGATAAGAATTAAAATTGCATACCCCACTTGAGGGCACAGTAGGGATTTATACATCTGCAAATGATGCTTTGTCTTCTTTTCTGTTGCTTCTTAAAGACTGTTAACATTCTATTTGCCTCCTTGCCAGTTTACAGTTTCACCTCTTATGATTACATATATCCTTCCTCAGTTGCAAAAAGACCAAATTTATAGAACACTGCTGTTTGTGCATTTTTGGGAACATTTTCCCTTCCAATTAATTATTTGGTTTTTGTTTAGAGACCTGTAAATTTTTTCTGATCCTTTGCCAACATTATACAAACTACCAACGAGAAACTTCTTCAGTGTTTCTTGTTCAGACCTATTTTTTTAGCAACCTGAAGAATTCTGTACTGTCAACACATACTGTCATCTATTTCTCCTCACCCCTTTTTCCACACCACTGATGAAAATATGAGAGCATATGTCCAAAGAGTGATCCCTGGGGGATTCCATTCCCTGCATTTCCCTCATTAGCTTTTCAAAAATTGTTTATTTGTAACCCCTAATTTCTCAAAAAATTGCAAAAATGGCAACATAAACAGCAGCCCAGAGTTACTCAGCAACTTCATCTTTGGCTTCCTTTAAAAATCTTGAGTAAATACCTCTTGTGGATACATTAATCCACAATTTACTGGCTTGTTTTAAAAAATTCTGCTGGGATCTCAAATCAAAATAGTTTCTCAGTGGCCTGCCACAAAGTACATTTACCTTCCAGGCACAAATGCAAGGAACCTACTGGTGCAACATAAAGACTCAACACAGAAGGGCAGTGGGTGAAATTCAAAGAGAATGGATGTTTTACCAAGGAGTTTTACAAGTCTAGGATTTCATCAGCTTCTTGGAAACCAAAAGTGTAATCAGGATATGCAACTTTTGTACGTTGATCCCCCGCTTAGCTGGTTTCCAGTGAGACACTGCAGCAAGAGAATTCCTTGCAGCAAGATTTTGATGCCAAGGAAGCCATTGCAATGCAGCAAAGTCAGCTTTAAGTACAATACCTCTTAGATTCCCATTTTCCCATTAGCTGTAGTATTTCAAAACTCTCCCCTAATGAAGAATCCCTTCCAAAATGCCTTCAGTTTTTCAAATGGAGAAATCAACTCTGACAACAAATCTCAGAGTGCTATTAGAAAGGACATCAGTATAAAATACTGAATATAAGGGACACACTTAAAATTTCAATTTTAATTGAAATAGTTTGCTCTAATAATAATGTAAACTCATCTTGAAGTCTATTAAACACACTTCTGGTAACACCTTTACAAGTAATAGTTACAATATATATTTTATGTATTTTCATTAGCAAAGAAAAAAATGATAGCTATGCAATAGCATGAATAATACTTAAATATTTGTTCACACTACTGTTAAAATTAGGAGATAATTTTTCATTGCATTTAGGTCCCGCAGCCCTTGGAATTGTGCTGATTGGCATGAGCCAAATTTGCATCAAGGGGAGAATGAAGAATAGAACAGCACAGAGTGCCACAATACCAAACCTGTGTTCTGGCCATGAGTAACTCCCCAGCAAAGAGATAACCAGGTATGCTGGGTGAGTGGAGTTGTATCAAGGAAACTGAGCCCCAAAACCTCATGTTTTCATGCAAATCTGTTCTACAGAGACAACAAGCTCTAGTTAAATATTCTCCTGCTATTACATCCACTTCCAATATAGCAGCAGTAGGTGCAGATAAGTACATCCCTGAAATAAAACTACTGGGAGAACAATAAAGTCTTTGTCTTTAAATAAAAGTTCCC